TCTCTCTTAAACATGAGTGTCAAGAGGAAAACAGACTATATTATAAGTTACTGGATGATAACAAAAGTCAGAACGGTGTTCACTGGGGGGTAGGGGAGGGGCTACCTTCTCCTTAATGCTTAAGACATTCTACAGATTGATTTAGGTGGGAGTTACATGAGCAAAAACTTACCTAACTGTACACTTAACATTAGTATAGCTTATTACACTTAATTAAAATTTAAAGGTCATTTCCCCTCAGAAATAGGAACAAGAAATGGCTTCCTTTTGGCATTAACAGACAGCAAAAACGCCAGTGTCTGCTATTTGCGAAGAAGGGGAAGTCATCTTCAAGGATTCTCCATTACCCAGAGCATGCCTAACCATTCAACAACGGCTCCAACCTACCTTTTGTTCCACACGCCCCCAACCTTTGTAACAAATACCTTGCACTGTGTGTGGTGTCCGGAAGAACACATGTGAGTGTGTGCACACGTGCAAGGAGGCTGGAGGTCAGCAGAGCCTTCCTCCGTCACTCTCAGCCTGATCCTCCGACTCAGGGTCTCTCAGTGAACACGGTCATCAATACGACTAGACTAGCTGACGACACTGCCGTGCCCGACTTTTACCTGAGCGCTGCGTGTTCAAACGCAGGTCCTCATGCTTGTGAGGTAGGCGCCTATCAACGGAACCATCACCTCACGCCCTCATCTTTTTAAAGAGTTTTAAGGTAGTTCCTAATGGCTGATTCTGTCTCGTGTTTTAGGTCCGAGAAATGTCACCTCGTCAGATCAACTTTTCCTGATGCACCTATTTCGTGCAGCCTCTCTCCCTGTGTGTCACAAACTGAGATAATCATGTTCACCCTGAGTTTTTCTCTTCGTGTCCTGTTAATCCCCACCTTAACAAAAGCTTTAAGAGCACTGGGAACTTTCCCACAGGAATTCAATGCTGCATTAATGGGGTCTTTGAGGTATGGAACAAGGGAAAATTTAAGAAAGTGTGTCATTTATTTAAGACAAAAATACACACTACCCACCACATTCTGCTGGGGATGTTAAAAACTTACAGGAGAGGCTGGTGAGCAGGTCAGAGGACTGTTAAAAACTTACAGCCTAGGCGGCTGGTAAAGGGCCTACCCAAAGTATGAGGACCTGAGTGCAGACCCACCGAGCACACACAAAAGTCAGGCATGGTGAGCACATGTGTAAGCTCAGTTCTGGAGAGGCAGAAACAGGATCCTCAGAGCTCACCAGTCAGCCTAGCCGAGGAAGCTCCAGGTCCAGTGAGACTTTGTCTCCTAAGGTAGAGAGCATTAGATGGAGACATCTGACATCCACCTCTGACCTCTGCAAGCATGCACGTGGGCACTGGAATTTGCACAGGCACACGCACGCATACACACACACACACACAAACTTAAAGGGCTGTAAGACAAAAAAAAGTGAATCTACCCTATGAAAGCTTTTCAAGAGACTCCTAACTGCAAATGGTGGCTCATGCCTGCAACCTCAGTATTCAGCAGGGAGGAGGGCTTCTGCGAATTCCAGGCCAGCCTGGGCTACAAAGAGAGACCTGTCTGGAAATAAAACAAAAGGAAAAGACAAAAAGCAAAGCAAAGTAAAACCGAAGGGGCTCCCCTTAGGCAGTTGTGGGAAGGGTAAACTAAATGCTAACGCAAAGGAAGGTGGGGGAAATAAAAGCCACTAATGGAAGTAGAAGCCCATCTGAAGTAAGACTTGGAGGCTAAAATGTGAGTATAAAGAATAAGGGAAAGCGAACAAAAGACAGAGGAGTGCGCCACCAAGATAAGAAAGGAAGATAAAATAATGCAATGAGAAGAAACAGTATGGCCACGGGGGAAATCAATATTGTTAACGCAAGGGGTACTGGAGCTAGGGAAGAGTCTATAGTGACTGAGCTAGGGAAGAGTCTATAGTGACTGAGCTAGGGAAGAGTCTACAGTGACTGAGCTAGGGAAGAGTCTATAGGGGACTGAGCTAGGGAAGAGTCTATAGTGACTGAGCTAGGGAAGAGTCTATAGGGGACTGAGCTAGGGAAGAGTCTATAGTGACTGAGCTAGGGAAGAGTCTATAGGGGACTGAGCTAGGGAAGAGTCTATAGGGGACTGAGTTAGGGAAGAGTCTATAGGGGACTGAGCTAGGGAAGAGTCTATAGGGGACTGAGCTAGGGAAGAGTCTACAGTGGGCTGGGATGAACATTAGGCAACTGGGAGCCTCTGCGGGTCTTCAAGTCAGCACTAGTAAAAGAAACTACTCTGGCAAGTATTTGCTGGATGGACTGGAAAGAAAGAAAAGCAAGAACTCTGAAGCTTGGTTAAGAGGCTAAAGCAATAGACTGTGTATAAAATAAGATCCTAAACTAAAGTTTAAATATGATAGAAGCCACAGCTGTGTCAAACATTAACCCTGACTGTAGTCAAAAGACCTAGGCATAAATCTTAAGTGTAGATTTTACTTATTATTTGAGACAAGATCTCAAAGTTCAGACTGGCTTCAAACTCGCTCTACGGGTGAACTGATACGTACCTCCACCTCTAAGTGTTAGGATTACAGGCATGTGCCACTATGCCTGACTCTAGGGTCTAGATTTAACAGCTCTTGTCAGACTCATTTTAATAACATTATCAAGATATAAACCACAAACTACAGAATTGACTCACTCAAAAGTGTACACCGTACCCATTTTCAGCAAGCTCACGGTCATCCATCCATTACTGCATGACCAACAAGTGTTGTAAGAACATTTACACTACTCTAAAAGGAAACCTCATTCCTTGGGGTTGGAATGTGTGTAGCTCAGTTGGTAGACTGCTCACCTAGAAAAAGGCCTTGAGTTCAATCTCCAGTACTGCATAAAACCAGTTAGGGTGGGATTTACCCATAATGCTAGCACTCAGTAGAAGGCAGGAAAACCAGAAGTTTAAGGTCATCCTTAGCTATAAAGTTGAGTTTGAGGCCAGCCTAGGGGACATGAGACCATGTTTCAAAAACAAAACGAAACCCTGTGAGGAGGCGCACACCTTTAACTTCAGCGCTCAAGGTACAGAGGCAGGTGGAGCTCTATGAGTTCAAGGCCAGCCCAGACTACTCGGTGAGCTCCAGGACAGCCAGGGACACACAGTGAAAACCCGTTTCAAACAACTAAAACCAAAGCAAAAGAATAACTGTAACAAAAGCCAACACAGAACCCCATCCCTGTAATCTCCTCTCTCCAGACTGGAACACATTAGTCTCCTTCCTGTCTCTTTAGAGTCGCTTGTCCTGGACATTTTTCACATGAATGGTGTCATGCCAAGTGGTCCTTCGTGACTGGCTCTTTACTTAGCATGTTTCCAAGATGCAATAGCATAAAATATATCGGCACTTTATTTATATTTATTGGAAAAAGATATGCATCTGTTTATGCATCCATGCATCAGCCTGTAGAAATGTGAGTTATTTTCATTTTTTTTAGCTATTTCTCCAGCCCCTCAATATATAAATATATATATATATATATACATGCTTTGTGCAATAAACACTGGGTTATTATTATCTTGTCTTTTGGTTGTATTTCTAGTTACACAAGTTTAAGAGAATATTTTACAGCCTCACACCTTTTTCTTCCCGTACAGCCTGTCTGTACTGTCACCCCACGTTAACATTAAGAGGGAAATTCTGTCATCTTCCAGTCCCCTTCTCACACTACTGACACTGGCATTACTAGCACTATGATATCTTTTTCTCATAGGCACTGACATAACGTACCATTATAACTCAGAAATAATTCATACAACCCAATTTTCGAAAATGCCACCCATTTTCGTTTGAGAGTCAATACAGACAAGCTGCCTAAGCTAGTTCTCTCCCTACACTACATGGGTCCCAAGGGTATCCAATTCAGGTTCTCTGGCTTGGCAGCAAACACCTCTCTTTACCCACTAAGCCACCTCACTGGTTCCCGAACTAAATGTTTAAAGGATAATGTTGTCTTTCACAAAATCTCTTCCTATACTTACTTAGCAGTTCTAGAAGATAAACACTATAAAACAGTATATGCCTGTATTTACTGAGTTGGATTTTAATTTTTATACCAAGACTTCTATAAGACAGAATTCTGTTAACTAATTTCTATTCTGTTTCTTGCTCACCAAGGTGGAGTAAGAGACACTAATAAGACGTTACTCCTTTTCCACTACTAAACTATAATTACTTCGAACCCAGAGATGCCAAACAAGGAAGGTCCTTCCGGTTTGAGGCTTTCATTTCTCCTCTAACTTGGCAGGCCTAGGTTTGGTGTAATTTTAATAAAAGCTGTGGTTGATGCGGCAGAAAACCAGGAACCAACAAGTAGACCATTTAAAACCGTGAAAGAGCAGACTATGCAGCGAGCTGACGCTAGACAGACTTGAGCAGTCCGATGGTCCTGTCTCAAGAACTTTTGTTGTAGTTGTTGTTGTTTAGCAAGTCGTGTTCTCTAGGAACAGTAGCAGAAGGCTCTCTTGAACAGCAACGTCTGCACTTTTTAAAGGACAAGACACTGAAAAGCGTGGTAGTACAACCCTTGATGCTAACAGGAATGTGGACACTAAGGGGCCTCTGAAAACACAAGGACGAGGGCAGGATAGAGAAGCACAGAGGTCAGATTGTGTCGGGAGGAGAGACGTCCCAGCCTGGTGGGGCGAGGGGGGAGTGGAGTGGAAACACTGTCCCGGACAGCGCAGGGACCGGGAGGGAAAGGCGGCCCGAGTCGCCGAGGGTGGGGCTTCGCCGGTGAGCCTCACCCCGGGAGAGCCGAAGCCAAGGCCGGGGAGAAGGCCGAGTGTGGTTAACCCGCCCATCCCTGGTGCTGGCACGAAATCCGACTCGCTGGGCAAGCCGGAAGGCGTCCTTCCAGGGACCTGGTCCCAAAGCAACAAGTTGCCCGTGCGGCTCCCGGAGAGGCTGCAGCGGGAACGCAAGACCCGGTGCGGCGGACCCGCGGCCTTCCAGTCTCAGCCCTTACCCCTCCGCACTCACTTCGCCACACGACGCTCTTCAGCCCCCGCTCCGTCACTGGTGGCGCCATCTTCCCCAAGTGGAGCCGCAGTCACCGCCTGCCACTCGCAACCTACTTCGGCCCTGGAACCTGCGCTCGGGGGCGGGCCCTTCCCCTCGCGGCGGGGAAGGCTCCGCCCCCTCCGCGGACCGCGCCCTCTGGCGACGTCACCTGCGTCAACATGGGCGTGCCCAGGCTGCGCCTGCACTGAGGCTGCGCAGTGTGGGCGGACGTCTATGAGCAGGCTGGCGCCCCCTGGCGGAAACAAAAATTCAGTATCCAACCAACTAGGCACCAGGAAACAAAAGGATGTGAACTTACACGATTTATGCAATTATGAGTTTATATATATGTTTTTTTTTGTATTTTAAAATTATATAATCTGTATGTATGTGTGCACACGTGTACACGCCCAGGCTCGCTCGTGAAGGTCAGAAGAGCTCATCTTCCACAGGGTGGGTCTTGGGACTCTGTTGTCCTGGGGAAACAGGTATTTCTTTGCACATACCTAGGCGCACATCAGGCATCAGTCTGAAATGCTCTGAAGTTTTGCTCAGTGTCCAGGTAGCCAGACACGAGAGGAAGTGAGTCCTGAGATCTTATGTAACAAGTGCATGGTATGATGCAAGGCAGTTGCCTGTTTGAGACCATTGTCTTTGGCAAGCAGATTGTTCCGTCAGGCAAGATCTACCATCCATTGCGACACTCCTGAGCCCCCAATGATCTAGTCAGAAAGTGACTAGATGTCTTCGGGATCGTACTCAGGAACATCTTTATCGAAGCAGAATGGGGGCTGAGGAACAGCAGATAGTTCCAGGGTGCCCTGGGCTTTGGGTTCCCCCAGAGCAGCCTTTTTGGTGACTTGATCTGCATAGTTGTTGCCTTGAATTTGGGGGCTTTGGCCCTTTTGATGTCCTTGCCGATGTATTGTGACCATTACACAGATCTGGCAGACAGATGCAGCTGGACAATTTCCTGCTTATAAAAATAAGTCTTTCCCTCTGCTTGTTTGTCCATGAGCATAAGCTGTGGCAAATCTGCTGTCTGTGTAGATGTTCACCTTTTTTTCCAACCCATCTTCTTTTTTTTAATATGTATTTATGTATTATGGATGCAGTATTCTGTCTGCATGCCAGAAGAGAGCACCAGATCTCATCATAGATGGTTGTGAGCCATCATGTGGTCGTTGGATATTGAACTCAGGACCTCTGGAACAGCAGCCAGTGCTCTTAACCTCTGAACCATCTCTCCATCCCCCTTCAGTCCATCTTAAAGCCTGTGCCAGAGAAATTATTTCTGCTCTCTGGGCAGATGTGCCCCTGTGCAAGATTTGTGCCCAAATGACCTCCTTCTGACTTGTGACCACCACCATCCCCAAATACCTGGTTCCTTCATGAATGAAACTGCTGCCATCCATGTAGAGATCACATCTCTGGTGATGAGGAGAACGTCTGTCAGGTTGGGACGCAAGCCTTGGATGATGTCTAGCATATCTAGTGAGTCATAGATAGACTCCTCAGAGTCGTCTGTGGTCCGGCAGCAGGGTGGCAAGATTGATGGACAAGGATTAGTCAAAAATCAATCTTTCCTTATCTAAAAGAAGGGTTTGGTACTGAGTCAGACAGTCATTAGAAACCCACAGATTGGTGGCATCTCTCGCAGGACTTCCATGGCATGCAGGGCTCTTATATTTAGAAACGTGTGAACTTGTCAGCTTCTCTTACAAGAATCACAGTGGCTGCCATGGCTCTTAAACAAGGGAGGCATCCAGAGGCTGCAGGATCTGGTCTCTTTGAGATGTAAGCTATTATCCTTTTAGACCCAGGGTCTAATCAGTACTCCCTTGGCAATGCTCTTTCTTTCATGGATGTAAAGATGAAAGGGCTTGGAAACATCAGGGGGAGTTAAATCAGGGACCTGTACAAGTTTATTAAAGGCCTGTTCATGTTTCTCAGTCCACCCCAAAGGGGTCTTACCTCTGGCAAAGTACAAAGGTTTGGCAATTTTAGCAAACCCAGGTATCCAAAGACATCAATATCCAACAGCTCCCAGATACTCCCTAACGTTTTTTGGTGGTTGGAGCTGGGATTTGCATTATGGCCTCTATATGGACCGGGAAATGGAGTCTTTTCCTTCTTTCAGTTCATATCCCAAATAAGTAACCTGGAGTGGGCAAATTTGGACTTTCCTTTTAGAAACTCTACAGCCTAATTGGGCTAGAGTTTCCAAAAGGCCTTGGTTGGCCCCAAATAGTCCTCCTCATCTCTAACAGTCAATAGTAAATCAGTTCCATATTGAAGCAAAGTTATCTCAGGGTACTTAATACAAAAGAGACTTAATTCCTGGTTGAATGCTTCATCAAAGGTGGTGGGAGAGGTTTTGGATCCTTGAGGCAGTCTGGTCCAGATTACCTGCCCCAATATCCTCAGTTCAGGGATGGCCGGTTCAAATGTGAAGATGGGCTGACTTAATTTTGACAAGGTGATGAAGAAGAATGCATCTTTGAAGTCCGATACAGTGTAAATATTATGCTCTGGTTGTAATAGATTGGGCAAACTATGGGGATTTGTAATAGTCAGGCAAATGATTTCTACTCATTTTTTCACTTCCCTCAAGTCTTATACTGGTGTATAGTCTTTAGTTCCAAGCTTTTGGACACCAAAGTAGGGGTATTCTAGACTGAATGGCAAGAAGTAAGTATGCCTATCTCAAGAAGGCACCCAGTGCAAACCTTAATCCCCTAACTGGCTGATGGGGTATTGCTTGACTCAAAAGGGAATAGCTTCAGGTGTTAGTTGCACTATAAAGAGCAGCACATGTTTGACCAAGCCAGGAGGACTGTCCTCTGCCCAAACTGTAGGAATTTTCTGAACCAACAACTTTTGCCATTCCCCTTCCAGAGAATAGATTGGATTTTGAAGGAGTAGATATTTCTTTGGTAGTCCAAAGAAATATCCAACTATAAATGGCACCCAATGTGGGGCCCAAATTTCTGCATAGGGCCAGGGAAAGATATATTCAATATAATTTGGGTGGCTGGGTTTACTAAGGGAAACATTCACCACCTCCTAGGCTATCTGAGAATCAAAGCGCCATCAAGGGGCCAGTCAACTTTGAATGTGGGTCATTCAGTTTCACAGGATGTTGGGAGGTAGTTTATAGTGATGGGATAATCATAATCTCCCTTGACTCTGGTGTGGGGGAGTAAAGTTTGCTAAAATTCTTTAGAACACAGGCTAGGGGACTTGCTAGTTATTACCCATAATGTCCAGCTGTTCAGTTACTCCAAGTCTAAGATAAATCAATTAACACAGGACAGAGAAAGAACATATAACTGAGACAGTAAAATGAGGCCAAAGATGAGACCTACAAACACAAGACAAACAAGACACAAAACCAGACCAAGAACCTCAGGTGGGCAGTGTGATGTCCTGCTTTTTGTTCCGGATGGAAGAGTACTGGGTCTTGCCATACCCTCCTCATTCTAGATCTGGATCTTAGCAGAACCAAATGTCACAGAAAATTACTATGTCTTATCAAGGGAGGCCTCCATTGATGCTTGCTGCTTTTCTCAGCATGGTAGTTCACTCTGGTAGTCCTAGAAACCAAAAGCATGCCTCAGAGCCTTGGAACTTCTCAAGGTGTACACCTCCCTGAGGTGGCCCCTCAACTCTGGGGTCCTGGAGTGAAAGTCTGACTAGAATTTGGGTGGGAGCTGGAGGAAGTGGTGGTGCACGCTTTTAATCCCAGCACTAGGGAGGCAGAGGCAGGTGGATCTTCATGAGTTCGAGGCCAGCCTGGTCTACAGAGCTAGTTCCAGGACATCCAGGGCTGTTACATAGAGAAACCCTGTCTCAAAAACAAAACAAAACAAAAAAAGGAAAGAAAAAAAGAATTTGGGTGGGTGGGTTTATCTCATTGGGGCTTCCAGAAAATGGTAATTCTCTGGGTGAGAACAGGCCCACTAGCATAATTTTTGAGCCATATTGGAAGCGAACATTGTTTTATTTGGGTGTACCAGAAAGTTGGCCGGCGATTGTTTCCTAAGTCAGATTAGAGAGAGAAGTGTTGCGTGTACGTTTCTCAGGGCCCTTTTAAGGAGTAAAATCACAAGTAGTTGCATAGCAGGTTTGTAGGCAAGAGGGCAGTTAGGATGTTCAGAAAATCTCAAACACAAGAAACAGCCATCACCATGTGGTCACTAGTTACAAGGGTTAGGGTGTTCTCAAAAACAAGTCAAGGTCTTGGGTCAGGTTCCAGGAAACAGAAACTCAGCTCTTAGAGTAAATGGAAACTTATTTAACAATACGACAAAATGGCTCCTGTTTTCAAAGTGGAGTAAGGCAGCTCCTCAGTCTCCTGTAGTTATCAAAAGAGGTTTGAAACATTGAATGCTTTAAAACCATATGTGGTGACCCAAATCTGCAGTCTTGAAGATGAAAGCCGGGAGATGAGGAGGCCAAGGTCAGCCTTGGCTACATACCCAGCTCAGGCTAACCACGAGAGCTAACGTTCTAATTGTTGTGCCTAAGAGATCTGTGAAATAAAAATGTGTCTGACCCATATGCCCCTTTCCCAAGGACAGATACTTCCTGAAATGCTGGAGGCTTTTGTTTATGGGGTGATAACAAGCCCCGCGTGTTTTCACTTCCCTAAAAGAGTCTGATCCAACTACACTGGCTGTGCTTGGTCGTGTGTAGGCGGGAGGTACACAAGGCAGGAAATGTGCCAGGATGTAAGCTTTCTCCTGATTGGACCCGATGAGAAATGTGGTGAATTGTGGGGTTTGTCTTTTTAAGCAAACCATGACTAGGAGCCATTTTCTGGAAACCCAGAGATGGACCTAGCCAGAGTCCATCAACCTGGCCAGTATTTAATTAAAGCTGGCTTCAAATTTGGCTTTAAATTGTGATAGTGATCTTATTCTCAACCAGTGGGATTAACACAACCAAGAGCAGAGATTGTGGTCCCGACACTGCCCTAAAAAAGTGAATGCCGTAGAAACAGAAAAAAAATCACCAAGAAAACAATCCTCTGTTGTTTAACAAGTTTGTGCAAAAAAAAAAAAAAAAAAAAAAAAAATGCATGGAGAAGATTATCGATGTTTTTAAGACCTAAAATTATTGTCAA